GAATCCGATGTTTTCACCGGATAAGGGTAAAAATGGGAGGTCCTGACAATGCCGGGCTGGGGGATTTTTAAACAGGGATGGCCACTTCGGGCGTGTTCAGCGCTCTCCAACCTCTGTTGATGTCATTTTAACGTGTAGCAGATTCAGTTTTTCTTCTGTTGGGTAACTTGTGGCCACGTGAAGATTCCTCAGCGCTCATAATTTCAGCCGTACTCGCTCCTCACCCTCTTTGAGGGCCTTCTGTCCAACAAGCCTTGTAAACAAATCCTCTCTCTTTTCAGTAAATAGTTATTTTTAAAACATCTCACATAAAATGCTGCAGGCCCACTGATGGTGGTGGTGGTGTCCCTTGCGGATTCTACTTTGTAGTCTGAATTGTTTGCTCGTCTCGTGACACCAGGAGTAGGTGAGCTTAAATGGACTTAAAGCAGTAAAACCACAACCGATGAGTCTTGTAGGAATAAACTGCTTGCCTGCAGCGCTAAACCTTCAGCCCTTTGATTCAAGAGTGTCTGCTGTTGTAAAACTTAATGGAAGAATAGTTTCCTGGATGTTTCAAGAAGCAAAATTCAAGTGCTCCATGGTGGCTTCTCTGTTGGCACGCGGGTATTTTCAGCAACTGTTTCATATCAGGGTAGTCCTAGTCATTGCTTTAAAGTAACTTCTTTTTTTGTGTAGCTTCAGCCCTTGTTTGTTCCTTACAGTGGCTTTTGAGGAAACAAAACACAGCTGTACTACTTACCCCAGCCACTAAAAGGAGCCACTTAACGTGCGTCCCTTTTTTATCTCAAAAGTGATGCTAAAAACTTTATATTTTATGTAGCTTATAATTAATGGTGTTCCTTATCTATAAAGCCCATGTTAAATAAGGTGAATTAATTAATTTCTCTTGCTAGCACTAGATTGGCCTCTCTCTTTGGTCTGGATCAAACAGTCTCAAGCCATGGAAATGAATTCTTCCAGTATACCGCACCAAAGCAGCCTAAGAAGGGGCAAATGGCAGCTGGTGAGTAACTGGGCTTGAGTGTCGGGAAAAAAACTTGGCAGCATGTATCTTGCTGGAAGAATGAGGGCTTTTGTGAAGAACAGCAGCAAGAATAATTCACCTAGCTTTTCTTTAATGATATTCTCTTCCTTTAGTACCCTCCAGAGGCCTTTAGTGACTTTGGAATATCCCTCTTTGTTTTTTTCCACTCTCTTCTGGAGTTAATTTTTTTCCTTGGGGGAAGGAATGCGTCATGGCATTGCCACTGTGGCAGTTCTGTGTCGCTGACAGGTATTCCTGCTCTCTACTCTTCAGCAGGTCAAGCAGCCCAGAAGGTGCCTGCGGCCCCAGCAGCTTCAGGAGCACCATCGGTGTTCGTGGCCACTGCGGTTCACGCTTATCGATAGTAAGTGTAGCAATGGTTTCTTGCCTGACCTTTTAGAGTCTGTGTCTCTGAGAGATTAAGACCTAATCGTAAAGGGACAATATTTTTGGATGAGTGGGGAGACCCTTGCTTTATAGACATGTGTCTGCAGGGTAGAAATGCTACAAGTCGATGCATGTTTCTGCTGAAAAAAAAGTTTCAGTTATGGTGCTGCAGTTGGGGGTTATGCAGTTGTCGAATAAACAGCAAATTCTGGCTTTGGCCATTACAGGGGACTGCATCCTGGGGTGCTGGCCTGACATTGGCACTGTTTCCAGGCAGCTCTGTCAGATGCTTATGTCTCGTTCATTCCCTCATGGAGAACTGAGGCATGAGCATAGAGTGACAGCAGTAAAATTCTCTGTCCATTTGACACTGCTATCATGTAAAAACTCATTTGCCCTGGATCTGTGGAAAAGAACAGTTTTCAACTCACACTCCATAATGTAAGGTCCTGTAATCTGTGGGCAAGCAAGAAAGTAGTGTCTTTAAGCTAAGACAGACTGCCTAGCAATTTAGGGATGAGGAAAGGCGACCTGAAGTCCAGAGAAGAAAAGCTCAGCAACAGTAGAGAGAAATCTGAGGCAGGGGTGTTTCTGCAGCTGAACGAGCAATCTCTCTTGTCTTCCAGTGTAAATGGGCAGTACTTGAAGCAAGGCAAGTATGGAGCAGCTGTAGTGGGGAACCATGCCACTAAAGAGGTGAGAAACACTTCGCTTTATTTTCATGCCGAGAGTGCGCTGGTATGAGGCAGGGTTTCTCTGAGCTCACCAGAATGTCTTTGCTTTTGATTTTGGAGGTCTCTGTTCCACTGCTGCTTATGCCTTCCTGCCCTTACGGCTTAGCCATTTACCTTGGTGGCATCTTTCTTGCAATCCTCGAGTTTGTAAGATACACCTTTTCTAATGATTCTGGAAGTGATTTTGATATTTATTCACAATGTCTTTGGACAACCGGGTCACAAATTTGTGCATGTGGATATCAATATAAAGCAAAAATTTGTCCAATAGTACAGAGATGCTTTGCTTAAGTTTTGTCATTTTGGTATCAAAAATATCTCCTCTCCAATCCTTCCTTCCCAAGTACTCATCTAAGAACACAGTACTGGGGTGCCCAGTAAGTTGGTGTGTTTAAAGATACTTTGAATACTCTGATCTGTCCTTGATGTCAGTACTTACTGTTTCTTATCCCCCAATTCTTGTTGTCTCACTAAGTTGCTTCTGCTTTGGCGAGAACAAAAAAAAAAATAGGAGTTTAGTAAATGAATTCCTGAGTCACTGATCTTGTGAAGTGCTCAGGGGTGGCATTCATGGGGGAGCAAGGAGGGACAGGGCTGGCAGAGGGAAGCTGGCACAGACTTTCTCAGGCTGCCTTTATAATATCGTAACCTGCAGAGCTGGGAACAGTTAGCAGATTGCCCCCAGTGCATCACCTGGCTGTGTTGAGTGAAGAAGCTGCTGTTACAGGCACATACAGGAAAACACTTTTTCTTGCTAGATCATGTCTAGTAGAGCCAAATATCTCAATGTAATGTTCTGTCTGCATTGTTTCGTACTTGGAAAGCTCCCTCCAACTCAGACAGTTTTATGTGTGTATACCACGTATTACGGGTTTTATGTATTGAAGCGTTAGTGCACCATCTTTTTACACTGTGATTGTGAAAAATGTGGAATTAAAGCATCTTGCTTATTGCAAAATAATTAGTTTGAATTGCTCGATTCCTGTAGCTAAATAAAGCTTGCATATTTTCGGTGGTTTTAATAGATGTGTTAAGTGTAGTAGTTTTGCTGTGAAAATGCTTCTGCAAGGTGTATTTGGCAAATAAATACTGTAGCCTTAGGCTCAGAATTTGACAAAGCACATTAGAATTGAAGATATTTTGAGTTTCTGCTATTTGTTGTTCTTCCCTGCCCAATTCCTTGTGGAATCCAGTACAGGATCCTCCTTTACATCAGTCAGCAGCAACAGATCACAACTGCAAGGATCCACCCAGGCTTCATACTCACGGTAAGGCTCTGGATGAGAAAACTTCCACTGATCTCGCATCAAACAGGAGTTGACTCTGAAATGCTTTCTTAAGTCTTCGATTATAGCCTTTGAGACCAAGCATCTGGCTGACACAGTGAGAGGTGTCACGGTGACTGGGAGTGCTGTTCTGCTCCTCCTCCTAACGTGTATTGTTCAAGAGTCTGTTACATCTGCCTTAGGCAGAGCGCTTCATCAGTGGATTTCCTAATGCAAGTTCATACGCTGTAGGAGGTTATATTATTACCTCTGGATCGCAGAGGAGATGTTTTGAGTTTTGCAGTCCTACAACGGATAGAAACAGAACAAAATTCCTCTTGCTAATAATTTGTAGTAAAGTGACTGAGAAAATATGACTGAGCAAACAGAAGTAAATGATAGCAAGGAAATGTTTTCTCTCAGAAATTTCACACTCAGCATTTTACTGCTGGTAAGAACAATTTGGAGCATTGTAAGTCCTAAAATGGGATCTCTCAGGAAGTTCTGTTTTCTGCCAGTCTTGCAGAAAATTTTTGCTAGTCTTAGCTTGTCATCAAGTGCCATAAAATGTCGTGGTTTGATGGCTAGAAATTCTACACTGAAATAGTAGAATTTCAGTCAAAATTTCCAACCAGGATGCTAAGTGCATTTTGAAAGATCAATGGGTTATGTACTCAGCTGGTGGTAACATGGGGTGAGGAAGGACTGACCCCTCCAATCGATTCTGGAAGTAGAAATGTAACTGATGCTTACGAAAAGTAGGTGACTTGCACTTAAAAATCTGAGTATGTATTATAGAACCTAGCTTCAAAGAAGCTCGTGATAGCTTTCACCATCTTGTGAAAGCTGCAGCATCTATGAAGAACTTAATATTTGCTCAAGTATTTGAGTTATAATAAATCTTCTGGTATAACGAGCATGTAAGTAAAAGCTAATAATCCTAAACTTGGGTAGTAATACATCAGGATTCTTCCTCTGCTTAATTTCAGCAGCTCTTATTTTAAGCTTCTTTTGGATGTGGGTAGGTTTGGGTTTTTTTTTTTTTTAATTTTAGTTGAATGTATATTTTCGTGTATAACATGGGACTGATTTCCTTTCCCACAGGTTCAACCCAACAATTACAGTACCTTCTATGATGATCAGAGACAAAACTGGTCCATCATGTTTGAGTCAGAAAAGGCAGCAATGGATTTCAGTAAGCAGGTAATTACTTACTCCGTTTGTGCAAGGTATGACTTGCTGGCCTGTTTAGAACAACAGGCAAGTCAAGATGGATCTCTGACTTACAACCTTTCAGCAGTAAGGTGCTCTCAGAGTTGTGCTTTTTCATTGAAGTTCAGCTTTGTGATTGAGGCAGATCTGTGATGAGCCTGGCTGAGTTGTGTTCATTAGATACAGGCCTGTCTGAGGCAGGGGGCCTGTTACTTCTGATGGGATTTTTAATCAAGATTCTCAACTACTGTAGGATCGGCGGTTCGGTAGAGCGGAAGGTATTTACTACTTATATAGCTCAGCAAAATTCAGCAGAAGGAAACGTGAAACACCTCTTAAATGCATCTATAACCTGGGCTTGGTCGGTACGCTAAGAAATGGATCAGATCTGTAATGAATCATAGTGGAACTTGCCACTCTGATTTAATGGCCAGAGGCATTGATAGGCTTTCCTTCTGCAGGTATGCATTGCCAAATGCAACAGCTCCCCAGTGCTCAATTCAGTCCTCTACCAGGATCTTGTTCTTGGAGAAGGGCAGGGAGTAGAAGGAGGAGACTCTCTGGAGATTGCCTATACAGGTTGGCTGTTCCAGAACAACGGGCCTGGACAGGTAAAAACATTTCTGCTACCTCCTAATACTAAGTGAGTGTGTCAGTCCCTGGAAGGGCCCTGCCACAGCTAGCATAGTATTGGTGCTGATGGTAAAGGTATGCTTTCAGTCACTTATGACACCATGTGTTACCTGTAGAATAAGGGATTCCATTACTGTTCAGGAGGTGGTGATTGAGATGCTTTTAACTTTCAGAGGTGCTCACAGAGGTTAATGAAAATGGTGAGAAGGGACAATGAAGCTAGCTATGCTCCTTTGGAAACAGCTTGAGGAAGTGCTAGGAAGGGCCTTGTCTGACACAAAGCACATTTCCAAATGTTGAAAGAATGAGATTGCTTTTACATCCTCTCCAGCTGTGTCCACTCCAGCTTGCTAATAAGCAAAAGAAATGTTTTGATGTTTCAAAGCATTACCTTTAAAACATGTTTACTGTTTTTACGGTTAGCAAAATTCATGGTAAAGGGTTTTACATTTGCATCCATCTGCAGCTGAATCTTTTTGCTATAAAAAAGGGCTTACCGGTTTTCATCTTCAGGGGTTTTTTTGTTTTTCTTGGTCTGCCTGGCATTCTTCTCTCTATGTACTAATGGTGCATAGCTCAGCAAGCTTCTAATCTCCTGAAAGAGTTGTTCAGCTGCATATGTCTTACTTTAATGTACAAAACTTCTAGACAGTTGTTTGCTGCTTGATATAAGCCTATTGTGTAGTGGTTTACTTGGCCTAATCCTGTCCTGACCATCAAGCTCAAAGCAGTTTTAAATCCTTGCGTCTCCAGCTATTATTTATTTTAAGAAATTGTACTGTGTCATGGACTAGAAGCTCTAGCCATGCCCTGTCTTACATCTGTTGAGAATTAATTTTAGAAGTAGCAGAATGGGAAATAGCACGTCAGAGATTGTAAGAGTTTATGGAATGCATGCAGTAGCATTCAGAATCTTGAAAGAGTTGGGAAATCCATGTATTTTGTGTTTTTGTTCAACTCTAGGTGTTTGACTCAAACGTTAACAAGGACAAGCTGTTGCGGTTAAAGCTGGGATCTGGAAAGGTCATCAAGGTAGAACTTCTGGCCCTTTCGTTGTAATAATTGAAGTCTCAGAGCTTTGAATTACTGAAAATCTTCAGGATTCATACACACTATTTCTCTTACACGTTCCATTTGATAGAAAACACTCTGTAGCAGTGACTCACTCAAACTTTATTTTCTTCTTAATTCATACAGTATAGCCAAGTCTCCTCAACGGCAGTGTTAGAAAGAAGTTGTCCTGTTTGGTAAAAAGGAAGCTTCCTGTTTTCAAGAGCTGGGCTTTTGGGTTTTATTGTCAGTGTTTTTCTGGAAGTCGCTTAATCCATTACCTTGTTCTCAGGGAACCCTATGTCTAAAGGAAGATTTCAATTTGAGAAGAACCTCAGATTCCTTCCTGCTCCTTGTGCCTCAGAAGCAGAGCATCAGAGCTCTGATACAACACCTGAGAGAAGGGCATGGGAGGATGAAGACAACTGACAAGTTTTAGGATGGTCTGCTAAAAGATACTGCCTAGGGTGGTTTTACCCTCTAAGTCAAATTGTGAGGGTTTTGACTGTAATAGTTTTTCAGTCTGGGTGTTGTAGTACTCCCTTAAGTTATTCCATAAAATCAGGTTGTGAATTGGAGATGCTTTTGTTCAGGTCACTTACATTACCTGAGTAATTCATATATGACCTGTTACAAGCTGTCCTTTACTGAAAATGCACTATTTTTCTACTTTATTTTTTTTTTATGTGTATCTTGTTAATGTTGCCTGGGTGTAGTAATAATCCTGTAAAATACTGACATCCATTTGACAGTTTGCGTTGCTCTGATTTCTAAATGTCCTGTGGAATTTGTGCACACAGCACAGCATGCAGTTCTTCTCTCCAGGAGATCAGTGTGATCTGGGATAGCTGCTTAAGTTACAATATCTAAAACTTGAACTGGGTATCTGTAACCATTCAGAGACTTGGAAGCCTCCAGCCTTCATGCTAGAGCTTGCTGTGTCTGTTTGATTTCATTATGAACATGTCGGGAGCCGCATCTTTAATTTTTAAGTTAATGTTGCACTTTACAATTGGCCATTATGACTATTGTAAGACAAAGATTTAGTGCTGCAGACTGAAAATAAATAGGATTTCACAAGAATCTCTCTATGTGCATTCTGGAATCTTCTATAACTGGTGCCTGAAGCAGTCTTAATCGGTGTAATTAAAAGAAACTGTAATGTCAGTGATCAAACTGTTCACTTTCTCTTTTGTTGTGCCTCTGAAAACCAAAGGGCTGGGAAGAAGGAATGATGGGGATGAAGAAAGGAGGACGAAGGTATCTCATTATTCCTCCGGCGTGGGCCTACGGGACTCAGGGAGTGGCTGGCCGTGTCCCTTCAGACTCTACTCTAGTTTTTGAGGTGGAAGTTAGGCGGGTGAGTGTCTCCTGCCAAGCATTTATTTTACATCTGCTTTGTGGCTGTTGGGTGGCAGCGTCTGTCTGCAAGGTGAAAACCTGCTGTTGGCATGAGAGCTACAGCTCAGAAACTGTTATAAACCAAATGCCTCAGGAAGATACATACCTTTAATTAAAAAAAAACACACACACCAACAAGAAAACCCCACAAAACCCTAAACCCAAGAAATCCCTCTAGGCTGTTTACTAAGATGTGTCTGTTCTAACTGTCTTGGGATCTTTTCATTGTCTAACTTGTGAGTCACTTGGGAAAACTAAATACTCATAGTGAGGAATGACAGGATCTAAAGACTCGGCTTCTCCAGTTCTGAATCAGTTGTATGCTGTTACTTGAAATGCATGAGCTTGACAAAGGGAGTAGTCATCAAAAGCAAAAAAACTTGCTGAAAACTTTTTTGGGAACCCAGAAAAACATCCTTTTTCGTTACATGCTTTTTAAGGTGAAGTTGGTAAAGGAATGCTCTGGTTCGGATGGACAGAGTGTTAGTTCAAGGGATTCTCCTGCACCTTCACCGGTACCCAATTCAGACGGCTTCTCTGCAGACACTGGTTTATTGCCTCCATCCATGATACCTCCAAAGCCTGGGTAAGAAGCACCACAGTTAAAACTACTTGTTGTCTTAAAAGATGGCAAGCTTATAAACATCTGGCACAGTGCTGCATTAATATTTGGCAAACGTGGGTTGTCTGTGTGCCAGCTTAGTACCATCAGCATGGCAGAGGAGTGCTTGCTAACAAGGAACAGGAAAATTTCTGCTTGAATGCTGGCTTTCAGATTTAAAGAAATTGAAATGGGCAGGGATGAAAAGTCATTCCTCTACAGCATTACTGAGAACCTAGCATGTGTGGGTACTTGCTGCAACAGCTTTCTCATCTCAGGTGGCAGTATAGTCATAAGTTGGTCTTGGGTAATGGCTGATTTCTTTAACTGCAAATTTTACATTGTCATTTGTCACTTAAATTAACTAAGTGGATCAGTTGTACTTCTTAGGGAGTTCATCTTTGTTAACCTCCGATATCGACATACTCCTGTTTGGCTTTTCAGGGAGCCAGCTGTTCGGGCCAAGTCAAACTCCATCAGTGAACAGCTAGCGGTAAGTGGTGTTTTTTCCTAACTAATTTGAAACCTTAAGTAGGCAGGCTTGGTTGGTTTCACCTCTGCATTCAGTGTTGCTGAAGATAAAGCGAACACCGTGCAAGCAAGACACTCTCAAATGTTCCCCTTACTAACAGCAGATTAGGGCCTTGTTCTTGAAGGGATTAGCAGAACATGAGGGAGCACAGTCCCAGTTCCTACTCTTAAATGCAAAGTTACCTTGACCATGTGGCTACTCACATGGCTAGTTGTCTTCTCAGATAAATGAACAAATTTAAAATGGATAACGAAGAGTAATTGGGACATTTGAGAAATTTAAATAGCTACATGGGAAGACTTCTCATGTGTTCCTCAGGATAGAAAAAGCTGCTAAGCAGCTTCCTTAATTCATATGTTTTCTTCTTCTTGTTGTGTTTTGTGCAGGGATAGATATTCTATGTAATGACAGCAGTGTCGTCACAGAAGGAGAGTATATAAAGCCAGATCATCAAATCCACAGTTATCTTTGGGCTTGAAAATTAGTTTTTGACACAGTCATTGAAGAATTGAAAGAATCAGAATAACTGAGTCAGGATTTAGAAGAGCCTAATCCTAATAGATGTCTCTGTAATGTCTGAAAAGCCTGGGCTGAGAGACAAAGGAAGAGTAACTGCAAACGTTTCTTTTAGAATCCAGATGTAGCAAAGGCAAAGCTAATTTCTCGGATGGCTAAAATGGGACAGCCCATGCTGCCTTTCCTTGCCGGGACAGCAGGTAGTCAACTTGACTCCAGTGACTCGGAAATAGAGGTACATCACCAACTGCATAAGTGTGGCTTTTTTTTTTTTTTTGATGCTTTCTCTACTGTGTGAATTCCTTAAAGTGGAGTCCCTAGCAATAGCTCTCCCTTTGTACAGGGAAGGCATACTCTGTTTCTGTGGCAAAGGGTTTAAGGATTCCACTGTTGTATCTAGTTCAATTGAGTTAATTGGATAACACCTACTCTCGAGTGATCTTGGGTTCAAACTGTTAGCTTCTTCAGCATTCAGTGTAATATGTGGATTTTTTTTTTAGGATCCAAATACACTGAGAGGGACAGCACAGCCAGTGACTTCATCTTCCATGAGACCATCACAGCCAGCTCATGCAGTACTGCCCACAGTGTCAACACAAGGTAATGTGCTGGTCTAGAGAAATTGCACTTTGTTGCAGGCTTCAAGTGCAAGGGCTGTATGAATAGAGGATTCATTTCCAGAGCTGAAACAGGAACTAATAACACTTGCTGATCCAAAGGTAGACTAATTCATAAAGCACAAGATTGAAGTCCTGGCAATATGTCTTCACTGTGATCCTGTGCACGCATTACTGCTTGAGGAAGAGCAGCCACAGTGCAGCAGCCGCTCTGTCATCACGTGTGCTGGCGTGGCACTGAAGTTTCTGGGACATGTGATTTGTAAATGGAACTGTTACAAATCCTTTCCCAGTGAATGGAATTTTTTTAATAGCAAAGGGCATCAGAAGGCTGGCAGCTCTGGAGTGGGTTTGATCCGTCTTCCCATGATGGAATAGCAGTGTCAGCTGAGCAGGCTTTTGAGTCAGTCTGAGTAACATTTTGTGTCAGTAAACTTGAGCTACCTTTGTTTGAATGAAAAGAGGTTGTCTAAATGTAGCTAGAAGTGAAATTTCTGTGAAAGATGACTTTATTCTTGACCTTTTATCACTTGTTTGAGTGAATTTGATTTTCACAAGGCTACAGACAAGCTTGTGTTAAATTTTTTCTATTTAGTGACTTTTTTGGCTATTTTACACTGGGTGAGTTAAATTATTTCTAGCTACTTTATGGCATGCTGAATTTCTTTCTTCCCTTTCAGTACCTCAAGCATCTGGTTCTACACCACTAGTATCTTCTGCTGCTTTAGTACCTGCAACGATCCAGTCCCATTCAGCTCTGCCTGGAGGAACACAGGGTTTTCAGGTACCAAAATTCAAAGAGAATATTGGCACTTCTGTCATTTCTAATAAGTCTTACTGTCTTCTCCATTGCTGGGAGCAAGCACTCTATAGCAGCATGTAAGGATGAGAATCCTGGGCTGCCTCTTCTCTGCTTTGGCATTCTCAGGTTTCCATCACATGCCTCTTAGAATTTAATCAGAAAGGGCTAATTTTCTGCCTGCTGATGGCTTCTTAAAGTTGAACTAAGAATTAACCAGACTTTGTTTAATATCTGCTTTTGTAGTGGAATAAAATAAAAACTTCCAAGTACTTTTAGAGCAGGTGGAAAAAAAAAAAAAGCATTTTAGTTGAATTTTTTTCTTTGTCATGGTCTGTTTTTCTGAGAGTTCATTTGCACACTTCATGTGTTTACGGGTCATGGCTTTTCATCCAGCAAAAGAATAATCCTTTTAAAAGGGTTGTTGTGCCACTGCTGTAAAGTGATGCAATCTGCTTGCTACCAAGGAAACTTTGAGGGCTTAACACACAATGTATTTGCCACACCGGGTAGTGAAGACTTCGCACAAAGCTATCACACAAACAATTCTGTGAAGTCTAAAACCAAGCTTATTACCCTATGGTTTTTGTAGTTATTTTTACTTACCCTATTTTCTGGAGGGGTTGGGAATCAAACAGTAGCCTATGCCACACAGAAGCACTGATTGTTTTTAAAGGGTCCAGGCAGAAGAAGAAAGTACTTTATAATTAATACAAACACTATGTGTCGTTAAAAACAAACCAAATAACTACCCTGGTGTATTGCTTTGGCTTTGCATTCTCCTTGTATTGAAAATGTGGAAGTTGTGGCAAGTAACTAGATAAAAAAGATAGGGTTTTCTGTTTGATGAAATAGAAACTAGGCATTAAAGTGCAGTTTTAATCTGACAGTGATTTGGATGTATTATTCTGAAAGTTTGACCCTGATGTCCTGAATTCTTGTAGAAACTTGGTCCAAGTTATGTTGTAACTTCTTTTCCTTGCCTGAGAGAGTAAATTGATACGAGGGAGGTACTCCTAGCATTCTTCGGTCTGTTTAGCTGCTTCTGATGAGCACTAGGCAGTAAAATTGCACTGATGTTGTCTTGCAATGTTTGAACCTCTCCTAGGAATAGCCTTGTGTTCAAGTTAGCATAACTTCAGATTACCGCACATCTAATAAGCAGCAGTGGGCTGTTCACATGCTGATCTTTGCCCCTCAAAACATGGGGTAACATGCTCTTGCTTAAACTTAGCAAAGAAGGTAATTTACTAAGCTGTGGTAACTTGAACACATACCTAAGCCTTGAGAGAAGAGTGGCTTTGTTGGTTTGGGTTTTTTTTCTGTTGTGTAATTTGACTTACTGCTCCCTAATTCTGTTTTTTCTTTCCGAATATGATCATTGCTGTGGGGCTTAAAAAAACATGAAAACCACTTAAGGTGGGGAGGGGGAATACCAAAACATATTCTAATCTATTGAACTTGTTCTGCAAGGCATATCCAGGAATGGCATTTGCTTACACCCAAACTGCTGCATCTGCTTCTCAACTCCAGCCCGTAGGACAGATGTATCCTGCACCTTACCAAGGTATGTTTAAAAAAGTAGGTGCTTTGCAGAAGGCTGCGATACTGCAGTAAGCTGTTTATAATGATGATTTAAGTAGCAATGGTAGCATACACATACATATTCATCCTGTCTGTAATGCCATGCTGTTTGGCAAATGCTTATTTTTTTATGCCAAATAGGGGCAAACATTTCCCAATATTTGTCTTTTTCCCTACCTTAAGGAACTTTGTGCAGTGTGAAAAGGGAGCGAATTTCTAGGTGTATTCCCAAGGCTGTGTATTACTAAAGGTATTTTATAGCTGGTGCTTCTGGTTCTAAATATAACTGTAATACTAAACAGCTATCCTACCAGCTAGGGAAGGAATTTAAGTGTACATAAAGGGGCCTTTGCTAAGTGGGAGGACATAGCCCAAAAAAAAGGTGCAGCCTAAGAAGGACTAAAGGTATTTAAAGAACCATTGAGGTAATCTCTGTTGGTGAAGAATTGAGTATAGCCGAACCTTTCTTGGAGCAATGTTTTTTCAGTTCAAGGTTCCAGAAGTCAACCTTCATTCCTATTGTTTGGTTGTGCCTCTTTGTTTACTGTTCTAGCGTGTCTGGGGGCTTCCCTCTTGTTGACCTAAGTGCTGTCATGTGGCTCAAGAATTTCCTGTAGTCATAAACCTGCCTATTCATTTTATTTGGAAAATACCTACATTATTAGTTTTCCAGATACCATGTTCACTTTTCTTTCTGGGAAGAGAGTGGCTGTCCTGTCTGGCAGACTTCAAACTGCTGAGCATTGCTTTTGATCTGTCCATATGCAGGCATTTTCCCCTTGTGACTATAGATCTCTCTTCTTTCCATTCAAGCACCTGGGGATGTTACTTCCTTTTTGATGACAGAAGCTCGGCAGCATAACACTGAAATCCGAATGGCTGTCAGCAAAGTAGTAGATAAAATGGATCATCTGGCTGCCAAGGTAATGTATGGCATAGACAGGCTTGTTAACAACCTTACTGCTATTTGCTCTCCAAATGTAGTCTGAGGAGTTGGCTCTATTTAAATGCCTTCATTAAGTTTGTAAGGGATGTATTAATGCAAATTCCAATATTATCAGACCTTGAAGTGGTAGCAATTCAGCTACTATGAAAAAGCTAAGGCTAGGCTTGGGGAAGGTCTGTTTCTTACTGTCTTAAATACCATGCAATGCATTGTGTTTGGAGAGGTTCACTGCCCTTCAGGAGGTGTCACAGTTGATAGAGTAGCATATACCCTACAGCTGATCAGATGGAACAGTGAAATGGGTCTTTGCAGATGTCTCTTACCTACACCCATAAATCCATTTCATCTGGCTTTAAGAATGGTTTATCCCTGTAGGTGGAGGAGTTGAAGAAACAAAACACCAGTAACAGCTCACTATTGCCTGGTATCTCCTCTGTTACTATGGAAGCTTCCATGATCATGAGCAATATCCAGCGCATAATCCAGGTGAGCATGGCCAGCCTTATTTGACTACTTCCACAAGGAACTGGAGCCCACTGTGTAATTCCTAATGAGGATAGCTCTACTGGCTTAGCCCAGATGTCCATCCACCCATGTGTTCTATGTGGCCAAAACCAGCTGCCTAGGTAAGAGCATGAGATACACAATGATTTCCACCCCTTTTGCCCCCTGAAAAAAGCTCTTCTCAACAGTTTGTGGTTGGGTGCTTTGCGAGCCAGAGTTGATACATTGGTATTTAAAAGGCCTTGGCGAAAGGTTCATGTGAGAAAAATTCAGCCTCTTCTTAAACTGTCCTGGACTTAACCCACAGCATCCTGCAGAACGGAGTTTCACAGCTGAAGTACCAAGTTACAAGAACCACCTACTTCTTTTTTTCACTACTCGGTCTTATGCTTTGTAGTTTTCCTAGGCAGCAGCCTTACAACCTTGGGTATTGTGGGTGAAAAAGTTAACCAGACACAATATTCTCTAGAATGTGGTTTGGCAACCACTGTCCCATGCCAGGATTCCTGCTAAGTGTAGCACAGCACATTCCTGTGATGTTACCACAGAAGGTGGTAAGTCTCACCACTGTACTGCATCTGTACAAACAAAGATTTAGGTACTGCTGCAAGGAAGTCTGAGTAAGATGAATATTCATGCTGGACTATGCTTTAGGAGAATGAGAGACTGAAGCAAGAGATATTTGAGAAGAGCAGTCGGATTGAGGAGCAGAATGAGAAGATCAGCGAGTTGATTGAGCGGAATCAGAGGTAAGAAGTGGGAGGGTACAGCCTCTCTGCATCTGCAAAGACTCTAGCTTGCACCTGGTTAGGCATAACTAGGATAGAGACATGTTCTGATACTTAAAATTTTTTTTTAAGGCATTAAAATGTGGAGTTCATTCCCCCCCCCTCCCCCCCCTCTGCAGGGATTATCTCCAAAACTGTGGTTTACAATAAATACAAATGTGTAAGAGGGGGGGGAAAAAACTTCATGCTATCTTCTTTGAGCATGCTTGCTGTGCTTCTGGGGGTTACTTCACTTTTGCTAGCGTTTTACTAAGGTGGAAGAAATTGTAGGGGATGTGGTATCCCTAGTTCCACTGTTGGGTGTGTGTTCCGTTCAGTTTAAGAAGGGGAATAACCTGTTTAAGGAAATGGATATCAGATTATCAAAACTCTTGACTGTGTGATAGAGACATTAGACTACCTGCAAAGAGGTAAAGCACTTATCCAAAGTCATATAATCCCTGCTGTGCCAGGCACACCCGTTCCATCCATTTGAGATCAGGCTCATGCAAAATTGTCTGGGACTTGGAATGAAGAAAACAGCTTTGAAATAATCACCTTTTCTATCTGAGCCTTTTGCTCCAAGTTGTGTATTTACGTACGTGCTCATGCAGTCTTCCCCTGTTCACAGATATGTCGAACAAAGTAACTTGCTAATGGAGCAGAGGAACCATTCACTGCAAACGACAAATGAAAACACGCAGGCAAGAGTGTTGCATGCAGAACAGGAGAAGGTAATGGTGACAATGAACAGAGCCACAGATCTCTGACTGCAGCCAGGAAAGGGGCTTGTTGCACTGCAACATGCTGAAGCCTTGCTAGTTCAAGGCTTAAGTCAGTTCTGTTAAGACAGCTGCAGTTCTGGACTGACATTTTGAAAGTCGTTTTGAGAAACAATATTTTCATGGCTTTTGTAACAAAAGCAGCACAGAGGATATAAATGTAGATCTTGATGCTGTCATAGCTTGAATATTCTTACAGGGAAGTATTTGATCTATTGTTAGCTTTGTAGGTATATGGCCAACACGTTGAGGAATTGTGTGTATCACAGGGCTCTGTCGGGTTGAAAACATACTTCATTTATTTAGTTGCACTGACAGTTTCAGAACGTCTCTTATTCCTTCTGTTTAACTGACAAAGAGTGAATGTAGCTATAAGAACAGCTACTTCCTGCTAGAGTTTCTTCATTGAACTCTTTTACACTTTTTTTTGTTTAATACTAACAAAAGCTGGTTGTTTCTACCAATAACGTATTGTGGTTTGTGAAAGGGGCCACTGGGAAATAGCTTTCAAACCAGTTAAATGCACTTATGCATGGTTGCATATCCTGTAATGTCCATTTGTGATAGCCTAGCCCAGGTAGGCTAGCTCTGAGGTCTGTAATTTGTCTGGTGTCTTCTATGCTTTCTCAACCATTGGCTTCTTAAATTACACTGAGTTCAGTCTTGCACTAGTTGTGTAGCTCTGCAGTTCAAATGTGAGATGATAAATGCTTGCTCTGCATGAAAACTGTAACTCGGTGCACCTATAAAATGACAGGAACTGCAGCTTTCCAAAGTGTGCTAGCAAGTATACTAAAGAAAGTATACTAAAGAATAGAGCAATACATGGCTGATAATCATATGCTGGTGTGAGCAGACAGTGAAGGAGAGCTGTATTTTTCCACTGAGAGCCCAGGTCTCATACCCATAATATGTAGGGAGTGTGGTTCTAACCAGGAACAAGTCAGATGGAAATAATAAGTAAAATTCCCTTCTGTCAGTGAGCACGACATCCAGCTTGTGTGATAAGTACCTTGGGAAGGAAGCATCTTTTGGAAGTGTAAGATGATCTTCAGGAATCTTTTGGGCCTCATCTTCAATAGGACTCTATTTGATTCAGCAGTCACTGCCTATTATGTGAATAGATGTCAGGTTAAGAGCAGAAAAGCCATGAGTTGCACTGGAGAAGGTTTCCCCTAGTTTTGTGAGAGCATTGACTGTAAATATGAAGGCTAATATTCCTTCCTCTTCCTTTTATCTAACTGAGCTTGCTTGGTGACTGCAGTTGCTGAGATCACTATGGACAGACGGAATCAAGGAAGAGAATTTTAAGCTAGTTTATTTATTCTTTACTTAAATTAGGGACTTGCCATTTATTTTGTGATACAGGCCAGGCATCTGTACCCAGGGTCACTGAGAAGAGGTATTAGTAGCTTGCTGCTTTTGGGTTATAGATCTTTGACCCTGGCGGAACACATCACAGCTTGAGACAAAGGCTTCATGTACCGTAATGATAAGTAAAACCCAACACCCTCCAGTGCAGAGGAAAGGTTCACGTGTAGGGCCACTCCTGCATCTGTGGTGTGTAATGTACCTGTAAGGATACCTTTAGCTTCTTTCTTTTTAAGCCAGGCTTTGCTACCTTCTTCTGTCTAAGCTTTTTACGGTTCTTGGAATAATTTAAAGGCTTCTCTGGCATGCCTTAGGCTCCTGTAATGAAGCATTTTGCTTTTCTGATGATGATTAATGCCTTTCAAGTTGTGTTCTTAACTCTTCCTGTTTCCTGTCACTGCTTTCTCTTCCTAGCACATGCTGCCAGTGGATCGGGGCTGGGATCAGGTGAGGCAGTGTGTCTGCTGACTGTGTAGGTGGTAGAGAATTGTGCCCTAGGTAGCGCCAGCCCAGCTTCCTCTTGAACTCTCCAGAAGCTGATTGGCATTAAAAGAATTGCCTCAGATCTTGAATTAGCACAAATCTTCAACTTGGGAAAGGGCTTTATAACTGGCGGTGTAGCCACTGGCCCCCACTTTCTTGGGGAGCCCTTTCAAAGAACTTTGCTGCTCGTCACCTCCCCCATAGGAGAAATAGGACATACAGTTGTCAGAGCAGATACAGATCACCTAAGGTTCTTGGTACCTGAAAGCTGGAGGCTGGAGCTGAGCCAGTATAGATAGGAAGCATTCGCTGCAGAAACTTAAGTCTAGTAACAGTTCCTGGCATAGGATTTCCTTTTTCTTTATTTGCCATTAAAGACAAAGGCGAGTGTTAAAACAACCTTTAGATATGCCATGGGGTTTTGTTTTGGTTTTCACATGCTAGGAGTTTGCCTTGCTTGCAGTTCAAGATACTTTTATGGAAACAAGAGGAAAGCAGATCTGGTTTTAGCCAGTCTCTGTTGAAATGCTGCCTCCTCTTTAAAATTAATGGTGTAGTATTCCAGCCCTCAAGGTCAGCACATACTCATCCTCACCATAGTTGGAGCAATTTTGCTCGCAGCTCTTCTCTGCCAGAAGGCAGTGATCCTAGTGTGAAGAGAAACACTTTAGTTCTCTTATGGGGATAAAGCAGTGAGAAACTCCAGTTCTCCTGAACTTATCAGTTACAAGAACATGAAAGCCCGTTGGAATCTGAGTGTAGGCGTAGAGATAAGCTGTTTAGAGATTCCCTGCAGCAAGTGAGGTTTTCTGACGGGCTTAGTTCTGTCTTTGCAGAGCATCCTCTGAATTTTGTGTGTTGTGCAACAAGATCGGGAACGTGACTTTGTGTCTTTGTCTTGGTGCTTTGAGCCTCTCCTAACATACTGTTTACAAGTTGTCTAACAAGCTGCATTAGTACCTGGTTTCATGTGAGTCACTGACTTTGAGCAATACTAAACCTAAACAGGTCAACAAATTACTGGGAGAACTGTGCTCCAAAATGACAGCCTTGCCCATGCGGGCATGTCAAGGTGACTGCATGCTGTGCGCTCTGGAAGAAAGATGCTCTTTTGGCTGTAACAAGCCTATGTTTTTTGTGGCTTTTCAGTGATTTGTAAGTTTGTTGAAGATAATTGGATGTTGAAGCCCAGGCTTTTACTTGAATAGATGTTGTCATAGCCTGAAAACTCTGAGCAGAGCCACCAGCCACTGGTACTAGTCTTAAAAACACTTGTAAGTTTTTCAGGAAAACTCAGAGTTGAACTAATGTGGTGATGAGGTTGTTGGTGGCCTTGTGCAACTTTCTAGTCAGTCTGGACAGGTTACAGCCAAACGACTCACAGTAACCTGGCAAAAAAAAGTTATCATTACCGTTTCAATTTGGAGATGTCTGTGAGGTGCTGGGTCCCAGCATTTCCTTGATGAGGTCTCTGGTACCTTATCAGTTCTTCCTGTGAGAACAGTTCTTGTGCCTCCTCACACTCACATATCCTTTTTTTTCTCCCTTTTCCCTGCTCCATTTTGTGATGCAGGCCAAAGTTGCAGAGGAGTTAGCAGCGGCCACAGCACAGGTTTCCCAACTGCAGCTGGAGCTGACTGCCCACCAGAAGAAGGAAATGGACCTGCGGAAGCAGCTGTCTGCTGCCCTGCAGGAGGCAGAGCGGCATGAGATGCAGCTCAACAAACTGCAAGCACAGGTAGCAGGTAAGATTGCTTGTGCCTGTTCCATGAGAGCTCCTTTATGTCATTCTTTTTCCTCTCATACAAGTCATAGGTTTTTCCTTTCTTCTGAGGTATCTATTCCTGCTATCCCTAGGATCAGTCACAAGGGTGTAGGAGAAGGCTATTGATGCACTGAAATGTTGTCCTGGTTTTGGCTGGAGTAGAGTTAATTTTTTCCTAGTAGCTGGCATAGTGCTGTGTTTTGGATTTAGTGCCAGAAGAATGTTGATAACCTGCTGATGGTTAACAGAATCACAGAATCAGGAGGAGGAGGTCTCAGGGAAAGGACTCTCTTTGCTTACAGAATCACAGAATCCCAGAACAGCAGGGGTTGGAAGGGACCTCCAGAGGTTACCCAGTCCAACCCCCGTGCTCAAGCGGGCTCACCCAGAGCAGGGTGCACAGGACATCGTCCAGGCGGGGTTTGAATATCTCCAGAGAAGCAGACTCCACAGCCCCCCTGGGCAGCCTGTTCCAGGGCTCGGTCACCCTCAAAATAAAGAAGTTCTTCCTCATATTCAACTGAAACCTCTTCTGCTTCAGTTTGTGCACATTGCCCCTTGTCCTGGCGCTGGGCGCCACTGGGAAGAGTCTGGCTCCATCCTCGTGACACCCACCCTAAGTGATGAGATCCCCTCTCAGCCTTCTCTTCTCCAGGCTAAACAAGTGCAGCTCCCTCAGCCTTTCCTCGTAGGAGAGATGCTCCAGTCCCCTCATCATCCTTGTTGCCCTCCTCTGGACTCTCTCGAGGAGTTCCTCATCTTTCTTGAACCGGGGAGCCCAGAACTGGACACAGTGCTCCAGATGGGGTCTCACCAGGGCAGAGTAGACGGGGAGGATAACCTCCCTTGACCTGCTGGCCACACTCCTCTTAATGCACCCCAGGATACCATTGGCCTTCTTGGCAACAAGGGCACACTGCTGGCTCATGGTGAGCTTGTTGTCCACCAGGACTCCCAGGATCAGCCACTCCTCCCAGTTTTGTGTCATCAGCGAACTTGCTGAGGGGTACACCCTGTCCCCTTGTCCAGGTCATTGATGAACAAGTTGAACAAGACCAGGCTGAGTACTGAGCCCTGGGCAACCCCACAAGCTACCGGCCTCCAACTAGACTCTGCACCGCTGATCAGAAGCCTTTGAGCTCTGCCATTCAGCCAGTTCCACCTCACTGTCCGCTCATCCAACCCACACTTCCTGAGCTTCCCTCTGAGGATGTTATGGGAGACAGTGTCAAAAGCCTTGCTGAAGTCAAAGTAGGCACCATACACTGCTCTCCTCTCATCTACCCAGCAGTCATGCCGTCATAGAAGGATATCAGATTGGTTAGGCATGATTCAGTTGCTGCTAAGTAGCGTTTAGACTGGTCAAGGACTTTTTCAGCTTCCCATGCTGTGCCAGGGGCACAAGAAGCTGGGAGGGGGCACGGCCAGGACATCTCACTCAAACTGAGCAAAGGGATATTCCAGACCATATGATGTCGTGCTGGGGGGCAGAGGATGCTGCTCAGGACAGGCTGGGCATCGATCAGTGGGTGGTGAGCAATTGCATTGTGCATCACTTGTTTTGTATATTCTGTATATTCTATTACCATGACTATTATTATTGTTATTCTTTTCCTCTGCTGGTTTATCAAACTGTCTTTATCTCAACTCACGGGTTTTACTGGGGTTTTTTGTTTGTTTGTTTTTCTCAGTTCTCTCCTCCATCCCCCTGAGGGAGCGGGGGGAGTAAGCGAGGGGCTGGGTGGTGTTCAGCTGCCTTCTGGGTTGAACCACAACAAATGTCTGAAGGATGCATCCTTGTTACCACAAAAAGGGAAGTGGGCCAAATCAATGCACAAAAGCATCCTGTCACAGGGATGCCTGTTGTAGAAGCAATTTCGTGGCATTACTAATGTCTTGTAGAGGAACCAGAGATGTTCAGTGGTTGAAAAGTTAAGATAAAAGCTGTGGTATAAGCTTTGCTGTTTCACAGAAACAGCTCTTAAATTGTAGTTCCCACTGCAGGTGCAAGCAGTGTTGTTGATTTCATTGTGCAAGAGACACTGTTCCTTCCCCTCAGCCCCCAACTGTGCTAACCTGAAACGTATGTAGTGCTGAAACCCACAGTAAAGTGTATTTTTGCAGAGCTCCAAGAAGCCTCTGAAGACACTCAGACTAGATTCAAAGCTGAGAAGCAGAGCCGCAAACAGCTGGACATGAAGATTACAGCATTGGAAGAAGAGCTAACGGACCTAAAAGTAGAAAAGGAAACTCTTGAAAGGGTATGTCCAGTGCCAGCATTAGAGGTGTGCAGGTTTTCAGTTGTTTGCTGAAATTAACCCAACAATTCTTGCTTGTAAATATGCAAGTTGGGTAAATCTTGACTCATCCGCAGGCAAGGATCCCTGTGCTGGTGGATCCTTTGTGCTTAGGTGATTTATTGTTATTTTTTTTAATATCTTAGCCAGTAATATGTTAACATTCCTACCTCTAAAATAATCTCAGCTTAATTTTAAAGTGATAAGATTCACTGCTCAAAGAAGCTCTTTCTGCCCAAGGAAGAGAAGCTACTTTGGTGCAGTCTGGTCTATTCTATGTCCTGTTCTGTATTGCAGAATCTTGCAGAGAGGAAGAAGAAATCCCTCTCGGAGAGAGCTCGAGCAGAGGAAGAGATGGAAGAAATACGCAGATCATACCAGCAGGAACTGGACAAGCTTCGACAGTTACTGAAAAAGGCACGGACTTCAACTGACCAGGCAGCAGCAGAGCAGGTGAGGAGTCATGGGGGTTTTTCCAGCAAGTGTCTGGAAGGCTTGTAGGAACCTACAGATAGGAAATAACTGTGAAAATGCTCAGGTAGTGGAAGAATAAAAACACTATCTGCTTCATTTTAGGGGTTAACTTTAACACAGAGTTTACTTTGTTGTCTTTCTAAAAATCTTTGCTGGTGTTTGTTGGCTCTGCTTCTGACTTTGGGATTTACAGTGATGTGTCTCTAAGGAAGTGCATGATTTGAGTTGGCAGGAAGGCTGCTAGGTCCCAGTCGTTCTCTGACTTGAATCCTAGGCCGCTGACGTGGCTGCAGAGTTCTGGTGCAGCATTGAATGCAGGCTGGCATGCAGCATCGGATTTAGACTGTGTTAAAGATTGCGTCAAACTGAGGAAAGGGGAGGCACCAAATTGAGTTCATTGTGGAGAGAAGAATACAGGACTGCTGATGAGTGAAAGACTGCTTAGAAATATGCCAAGAGATCTGAAATCTGAGCCAAACCTTCAGGCCAGCCTGAGGGATTGTGGCTCAAATTGAACTATGAGAGGTGTGGGCAGGAGGTGGTGGCAGCTGCAGGGCTGCTGTCTGCATGTAGGAATTCCAGCCTAGGGCAGGAGATGTTGTCCAGCCTCCAGCTTTCAGCCACTTGTTATGCAAATACAGATGATGTGTGTGTGTGTGTGTGTTCCTAATAATCTCTCTTACATGATGGGCAGCTATCGCTCATCCAGGCAGAGCTGGAATCCCAGTGGGAGGCCAAATGTGAGCGTACGCTGGCCTCGGCCAAGGAGCAGCACAGTAGACAGTACCAGGAGGTGTGTGAGCAGAGAGATTCCCTGCAGCAGCAGGTGTCCCAGCTGGAAGAGAAGGTAAAGGGCTGATTATTGCTGAAACTTAATGCCAGATAACCAGTAACTGTAACCAACAGTCCTCTCCCACCTAATTGTGGCTTGACTTTTTAATTTCTTGACTGTTACAGAATTTGGTCTTGTCCACAGGATGTGTTTGTATTTGTGTTTGTTAGGTTGGATTGGTGGGCTAATGAATTTACCACTGCAGTTCTGAACGAGAGTTAGCCAAGATGATGTCAGTCTCAGACTGAAGCAATGGCTACAATCTCTTCTGCTGATCTGCACTGTTCTGAGTGATTGGTTTTGAGCAGAAACTGTCTTGAAGTGGGTGGCACCGAAAGGGGCTGTAAACCGATAGGCTCTACTTCTTGCCTTTCAGCTCACGGCTCTAAAACACTCAAAAAAAACAGAGGAGCAAAAATTGTCAGAGTTTCAGCAACGTTTGGAGCAACTAGAGCCTATCAAAGAGAAGGTAAAGGGAATAACACAGCAGCTGAATGTGAACTGGAGTACAGTAATCATTAGGCTACCTGCGTCCAGACTAGCAAGAACATGAGTTCCGGAATAGAAGAGGGAAGGAATAACTTCACATTACTGCCAGCAAAGCAGAATGGGCCCAATGGGCAGACCCAGCCCTCATTTCAGTAATGCTATGCCCATTCTTGGTGTTACTGAAGAGCTAATGACATGGTTGTGGATCTCCAAGGTTTTGGCTTGGCTAGATATCATTTTTATTTTGCTGTTACGTTCAGCCAAGTCTTTCGCAACTCTCAAAGTCCCGCTTAAAACTCCACTCAGCAATTTACCCCTCATGAAAAAACTGTTTACAGGTAACCCACCCATTGCAAGGTTCATCATGGTGGTGTCTGTGAAGCTGTTCTGACTTTTGGTTTCCCTTTGGCAGTATTCAGCCTTGCAGTCTGATGTTGTGGTGCTGAAGGCTCGCTATGAAGAACGCATCCGAGACCTGGAGAAGGACCAGGACGGATCTTCACCTGCAGATTTCACAGAAGAAGTGAGCTTGACCACCCAATATTTCACCTTATTAAGCAAACCTATTCTATTTGCCTTGAATTTTTGCTCTTCGAGCAGAGATAAGAAGGAAAAACATTATTTTCTCCACAGAAGCGCCATGTTTCTAGTAGCAGGGTCTATAGAGGAAGAAGGGATGTGATCTTCCTGCTGCCCACTTTGTTGCTTTATTATTTTTTTTTTAGATGAAAACTTAAGATTTGAGGTTTAGATTTAAAAATTGCAAGAATAATAAGAAATAAGTGTCAGTCTGCCTTGGGTTTGTGCAACCTGCCTCAGTTTTGGAGGGATGGGTTTGGTGTATGCATAAGGGCTCTGAATTAAGATGGCATGATGTATTCTGCTTCATGATGGAATTTCTGATTTGAAAAGTGGGTTCTTTGAAAACCACATGTGTGTGTTTGGATTTATTGTTCCTTCATCTGGAGGAGTATCTGATGTTGACTCCAGTGCTTCACTTGCTAACGAATCCTGTCTTTGTTTCCTGCCTTGTTCTTTTGCAGGTAAAGAAGATAATGAATGGTGTATTTCAGTCTCTTCGGGGTGAATTTGAGCTGGAAGAGACATACAGTGGCAGAACAGTTCTGGGTGTTGTCATGAACACTATTAAGGTACAACACTGATAAGAGTTGATCAGTGTGAGGGAACAAGTGTTGGGCTAAAACACAAATTCATGTTGCAAGTCTGAAATAACTGTGAAGCAGAAATTTGCTGTGGGTCGCAAAGCAGCCCAGGAACAGAAGATGATACGGGGATCTGTGATGGTTTATGTTTAGGGTATAACCATGGTTCTCTCTGCTCAATTTTTCAGACTGTGACACTGCAGCTACTCAACAGGCAGCAGGAGAGACCAGATCGTGACAGTAAAAAAGGGGAATCCGGAACAGGAGCAATGAGACAGGAGGGATCACCTGGAGCAAAGACTGACCATGAAGAGCCCTTGCGGCATAGCCCAGCACAGTCTCTTGCATTCCCATCTGATCCTGGGGAAGCAACCACAGGCTCTATGGTGTCTGACCAGGAAGGCGAGTCTGCTCTTCTGTCTGTCGGGCCCAGAACTCCAGAGGAGGAGCAGGCGACACAGAGTGTTGCAGTGGCAGAAGATGAGAAGCTCCAGGGGGAGCATCTCCCTTCCCCAGCTGAGTCCTGCCCAGATCCTGATAAGGGGCCTGCACTTGCAGGACAGCCTGTTCCCGGGATGGGTGAGGACTTTGTCCCAGCTGAGCAAAGGCAGCAGAGCAGTCCCATCAAGAATGCTGAACGCAGCCCCTCCAGAATATCTCTGCAGGCAGAAGTTCCAGAACATTCTGTTCTTGAAGCCAAGCCAGGAGAAGCAAATGTGGCAGTGCTTCCAGAAAAGCTGGCAGAGGAGCCTGTGGGAGGTTTAGAGCCCCCTCCCTTAAACGGTGAGGGAGGGAACTGCACAGACCCATCGGATGGAGCTAGCTCTGAGGAGCCTGCTTCAGTGTCCAACACAGCAGAGCCGAGCTCAGCTATCATCCGAGAAACCCCAGGACAGCAGGAAGTGGGCTCCAGCCACAGGCAAAAAGATTCCAGGTAAGATGCAGCTGCTGGGGTAGCCACAGTCCCATTCTCCTGCTCCTCAGCTCGGTCTGGTACGGCAGCAACCCAAAGGCTGGTTCAGTTGTGCTGCCCTGCAGTAGCAGCACACGTGGCAGAGCTGAAGCCCCGTCACAGTGCAAGTCCTGGATGGCATGAGCCAGGCGCTGGCGGAGACCGGGCTGTCCAGGGCCCGCTCTGCTGGGGGAGTGGAAGCAGAACCAGCTCCTCTCCCCGTGGAGGCAGTGGTGCCATTATCCCTGGCAAATGATTCCCAGCTGAGTGCAGAGGGGAGCATGCAGCTTCTCTAGGATCTGGTATTGGTGGCTGCCCAGTCTCATTACTGAAGTGTTCTGCACTGGTGAATAGCATGTGCCTTAAAAGTTGGCCTCGGCGATAAAACTTTTCCATCATTCTTTAATAGAACTTGTAAAACCAAGATCCCATCATCTGCAAGCAAACTGTTAATTCTTTATCTTCTTCTAGCCTCTTTGAGGATGACAACTTCTTTGAAACAGCGTCTCATAAACCACTGAAGCCCCGAGTTCCCTCTGAAGAGGAGGATGAGGAGGAAGTGGTACGTATTTGTATCTTGCCACTCCTACTTAACCTGGTTTAGGCATTAACCTGTAGCTTGTCTATGAAATCCCTCCCATGGCAGTAGGGGACTGCCTGGCTCCTGCTAGCCCAGCTCGGGGCTTCCCCCAAGTTGTCTGTGTATAGAATCATAGAACAGTTTGGGTTGGAAAAGCCCTTTAAGATCACCAAGCCCAACTGTTACCCTAACCCTGCCATCCCACCACTAAACCCTGTCCCTAAGGACCTCGTCTGCCCAGCTTTTAAATACCCCCAGGGATAGGGACTCAACCACTTCCCTGCGCATCCCATTCCAGTGCCTGGCAGCCCTTTCAGGGAAGAAATTTTTCCTGATGTCCAACCTAAACCTGCCCTGGTGCAACTTCAGACCCATTTGCCCTCGTCCCATTACCTGTTACCAGAAAGAAGAGGCTCCCCCTCACCAGCTTTGTTGTTCTCCTCTATAAATCAAGAGTATCTGGGTTAGTTTCTTGTTGAGCTTGGAGGGGTTGCCAGGGCTGAGGTAGTGATGACAAACCCCTTCTGGCATGGAGCTAGTGAGACTTGCCGGGTTCATGGCAGGGTTTTAGTGTCTTGCCCCTCTCCTCTCCCTTTTCGCCTGTAAGCGTCTCTCCTAGAATACTGTCATTATATGACAAGTGCCAAAACACCAGTAATGAGGATTCTTGATATCATCTCCCTAAAGCCGAGGGAGATTTTGGAACCAGAACTGTGTAGCAATTACTAAATACTGGGAAGCTGTTGAGACTGACAAGTTTCCTTCTGGTTTTACTTCCAGAGCATGAAAGGGCGACCCCCTCCAGCTCCGCTCTTCGGTGACGATGATGATGATGATCCAGATTGGCTGGGATGAAGAGCTGGCTGGTGAGCCTGCAAACCCTCTCCTCTGGGCATGGCCTCTTCCTGAGCACTTAGTGCTTAATGAGCTGCGTACGTGGGACAGTTGTGAACAACCAGGGACTTTCAAGGCTCTTGTACTGGAGACACGGGGCCTGAGAGCAAGGGGCTCTTTTTGCACTGGTGGGCACTCAGACCCGTCATTCTGACCTGATAAACATGCGCAGAGGTTGGGGATGAGCTGAAGGAACCAAATGGTCTTACTGCACGTTTGTATTGCTGTCCTACTTCTGTGAACCCTTGTTTCGTTAATCTGAAACTTTATGCAAATATGAACTTTGTGAAGTGCTTCAGAAGAATAAGTCTGGCAGGAGCCTGCAGTAGGTAACTACTTTTTTAAAAAAAAAAAACCAGACTAAAATCTCTCCTCCTTCCCCAATGAAGATCATCTTGGAATATTTCTCTTGGTCCCCAGGGTGGCTCCCAGGGACTCTACGCCATCTCATCACCACTATCAGCAACGTGCGCTGGGAGATTTGGCCGAGAGGCCCCAGGCAGGCGTTTCCCGTCCGCCAGCAGCTCTGCCAGGGCAGCTGGTGGCCACCCCAGGGGCTGCAGCAGTTCAGGTCGGCCCTGGTGTACGTTCAGAGCTGTGGCACGCGTAGTGCTTGCTGACCCACAGCCTGCTCTGGGCAGGGGCACCCATGAGCGGGACTGAAAGCCAGGGCTCTGTTAGACCCATGCTCCAAGCACAGGAGTAGTATTGAGTATTTGCTGCTGTCAGAAGCCAAATCCCCAGCTGTGTTTTATGGAGGAGCCTGAGGCTGGCAGAGGCCTCCTGGAAATGATCCCCTGGGCAGCCTGTGGGGCCAGCGCCTCTTTTCTCTGTGGCCAGAGCTGAGTTGTGTCTCGCAAGCAGTGAAAGTAGCAATACAGGTGTGTAACGTGGTTCTTGTCCAGAGAGCAAGCCAAGCCCCTCTCCTGTGCCTTTTTCTCTGCTGCTGGTTAAAGTGTGACAAGTTAAAGCTCAGTGATGGTGGGACACGAGCTATAACCCAGCTTCACCTGGCTCTGCTGGGCAGCCGGGGCCTGGGGTAAAACTTTTCAGTCTTAAGTGGATCAAGAGGGGAAAGCAGTGAGGACAGATGGCTGGGCAGACACGCTGGATTGCTCAGAGCACTTGCACACTCATTGGCACTAACGCAACTTAAAACTATGAGCAGATCTTTGTGTCTTTAAAACAAGTAACCCCCCCTTCACTTAATAAAATGGAAGTGCTTAAAATAAGTCTACTTGAGTTTAGTTTCTACAACTGCCTCTTATCTCTGAACTGAACTTGATCTGTGTCCCCATAAATGTGATTTCTTGGGAGAAAAAAGAAAAGAGCGCTGGGCCTTCCTGTTCCAGAGCGTGGTAGGTCCCTGTCCCTGCATGCTCAGTGTGGCAAATTGCCCAATGCAGCTGAAATTGTGGAAGAGACCAAAGCCTGTGCCACAGCTGCCTGGCTGCTGTGCAGACACTTCTCTTGCAGGGTGAACCTGGCTGGGGTTTCCTGGGGAGCTGCTCCAGAAGTCAAAGCACTGAATAGTTATTTGGTGCTGAATGTGACAGCGTGTGAAACCCAGATTTTCTGGGGCTCCCCTTCCCTGTGCTGGGCTGAGTGTAGGTACCCAGTGTGGCCTCTGGAACCCCCATCTGCTGCAGTGTCCTACTGGAGGTCGTTGCTAATACTAACAAATTCCACTTCTTGTTTCCTGTTACAGATTTGCATTTCACGTCTTGAAAAATAAAGTGCAATTAAACCTGTAGTTTTTGCTTGCATGGGTGGATGGAGAAACTCTGCTGGGAGCATTCTTGTTGTTAAACCCCCCTCCTGGGAAAGGAGAGGCGGTCCCTTTGGGCTCCAACTGCAGCCCCTGTGAGGCTGGTGCCTTGCTCAGTGTTGGCTTAAGAAGCTGAAGTACAAAAGATGATTGTGGTTTGCCATCAGGAGTTAAGGGAGGGGGGCCTGGGACATCTTGCAAGGCTTTGCTCTCCTTCCCTGGGTGCTCAGCAGGGCTCCTTGCTCGGGGCTGTGCCCCTTTGCTCTGGGTGTGCAGGAGCTGAGATTTGAAACTTGTCCCTCTAAAAGCAGGCACAGGACGTAACGCACCCCCTTCCCCACCTCGGCATCTCCCTCTCCCTAGGCCTGGAGTTCCCAGCTTTTTTCTGGCTCAATCTAAAATAAACCCCTGCACCCATACGCACGCCTGCCTTGGGTGCAGGAAGGGTGAACAGGAGAAAGTTCTGGGTTCCCTGGGGACCCAGCAGGCTTGGGGAGTGACAGACCTGCTCTGGCCTGAGGCAGGGGCAGATGCCCCCTGGGGGGCTGCGGAGGGGCTGGGGCTGGTCCCTGGTGCTGTCTGTGGGCAGGAGGTGGTGTCCTGTGCAGGCAGGGACCTAGATGTGCCCCAGAGGGCATTGCTGAGTGGAGATGGGGCTCAACACCCGCTTCCCTGAGGGGCTGGGGAAAGGTGAGCACCCCCCCTCCTAGGAGCGGAGGCCTGGACCCCGGTCATCACCCCCACCCCCTCTACATGCTGTCCTCGGTGCAAAGCTCTCCCTGCCTGGGGTACGCGGAAGCACAACCAGAGAGTGCTGAGCCAACAACGGAGACGGTGCTGAGCAAACATCCATCTTTAATGTCCCCCATCTCTGTGGGCAGTACCCTTCCCCAGCTGCCACGTCCCCCTGCGTGCGCCACACCGGGCACTCTTCTGGAGGGGAAAAGGCCTTTTTTTTAATTGCTTTTGAAGAGTTTCACCACAGAAAAGCAATATGGGATCCTTCCACCCTCTTCCACCCTCTCCTCGCTGCCTGATGAGATGGACTGAAGTGCAGCTGGGGGGGAATTTTCCAGCCTCTGGGATTGCGACACCAGGAAGCACGTGCTGCCCCATGCTGCGACTCCTGCCGAGCTGCCGCCGGGAGGGTCTGGAGGGGCCGGGAACATTATGAACACAACGCGAGCACAGCCAGACCCCGGGGGGGTGAAGGAAAACTCTGCAATAAGTTAATTTTTAAAGACTCTGATGCCCTGTGGCTTGTGTGCAGGGCAGCCAAGCATCCTGCAGCCCCCACATGCCTGGGCTGGATCTTGGTAGGTGCTGAGCCCCCAGCCCCATCCTCAGCCCTCTCCCTGCCCGCCTCACTGGGGCCGAGCCATCTGTGGCCTGAGAAGTCCCTGACCCACTGCTGGGTCTGTCCTGGCTGCTCCAGGGGAGGCGGCGGGGGGCTATGGTGCAGCACAGGAGCCCCTCTCCCCCATCCAGACCTACTTGAGGAAGACGAGCAGAAAGAAGGTGGAGACGATGAGGACGAGGATGCCGGCAGCAAAGCCAAGGCGCAGGTTTTCCATGGAGGCGATGGGGGGCTGTGTGTCCAGCAGCAGCCCCAGCCCTGTCAGCCCCAGCATGAAGGCACCCGGAGCCTCAGAGCCGCGTCGAAGGCCGCAGGGGGACACCATGCTGCTCACCGCAAAGATGGGGGTGTGAGCCGCGCACGCCACCTCCACTGCCACGGAGCGTGACGAGACTTGGCGAGCAGCTGGGGAGGCACCACTGCCTTCCTCTTCCTCCTCCCCATGTGGGGTCCCCGAGGCTGGCATGGCCCTGGGACCACCCGGAGCCAGCTCAGGCACCAGCGTCACCATCCTGCAGAAGGGGCAGCTGACAAAGGCGACGGCGGCGGAGTGGCACACCAGCTTGCGCAGGCAG